GTATAAAGTATTGCTTAAAAATAATATTCTCTCTGAATAGATTAGTGTTTTTGTTAGATTTTGATGTTTTTTTCTTTTTTCTTTTAAAATGTTGTTATTATTCAATGAATCACAATCATACAATGAATTATTTGGTATATTATTAGTTCAAGAATTGATTTTGTGTAGTTTTTTCAAAATGCATTTACTAGTTTATGGTTGACATTCTGTCATTCTGACGGAATAAAATCGAAAAATATATTTACTAGTTTGTGGTTAACATTCTATCATTCTAATAGAATAAAATCGGATTTTTAATTTTGAATTAATTTAAAATATTCATATTTTTTAAAATAAAGGAATTAGTTATCCCTAAAAATCTGAAAATTTTCTTTACTAATATAGGTTAATTGACTAAAATATCCTTATGCTGAAATTTATGTGATTATATAGTACATGTTATCTTATTCTACTATCATAAACCCTCAGATCATGACTTTTGATTATATTCCATCCAATGGTCCAAATCTATGCATTCTAACACACAATAGTTACTAGAAACAAAATAATTTAACCATATATATATATATATATATATATATATATATATAGAGAGAGAGAGAGAGAGAGCCAAGAAATGTAGGAGCAGTCTATGGGTTGTTCAATTTATTGCTTTTAAGGTTTTCATGCAAGTTCGTTAACTGTAAATGCACACAAATACAATACAAAATTATAAAAATGGTCTCTCTGTTATGCATTGACAAAACTGCAAAAATATCCCTTGTGGTGTATATTTTTCGATAGTTTGATCCAAACCTTGACTTTTTTGGATTAACGATCCTTTTTAACATGTTTGTATCTGGTTTTGGTCCATCGACAAACTAAAAAGACTAAAATGCCTTTTTTATTTTTATTTTTATTTTTTTAAATAATTATTTTTATATTTTATTAATTAAAAAACAATAAAAGACCCCTCATCAATTTCCCCTACTCCACCCCACCCCATCATCTTCTTCTTGTTCATTACCTACAACGCCATTCTCTACCCTTATCTATGTTTCAATACCCTCACCTAGGGTTATTAATCGGGTTAACCCGATCGGGTTTCGGGTTAAACGGGTCAGGTTAGTTGGGTTTTTCTTGAAAAAATATTCACCCGAAACCCGACCCTAATAAGGTACGGGTTAGTCGTGTTCGGGTTAACCAGGTTTCGGGTTTGTAGGGTCGGATTAATCGGGTTAGTCGGGTTGAAGTTGAAATGTAAGATGAATTTATGTTTTGCCATTTTAATACATAATCCACATGTAGAGGGACTTAAAATGTAAAGTTGGTATACGATATGATTTTTTGGAGTTTCTTTTACCATATTAGTAATGTAAACAGTAAATAAAATTCGTAAAACTGTTACAACACAACCTTACTGCACTAAGAAGAGAGGAAAGTTATATCATTTTATACATCTCTATACATAGTAATTTTACAATCTGGATTTGTTTAAATAAGAAATATGTATTAGTTGTAAAATCTCATGGGATCTTGAATTCATATCATTCAAGGCAATAAAAAAAGTTTTGGTAATAATTTCTTAATCGGGTTATTCGGGTTGATCCGAAACCCGAATTGTTTTGAAAAAATCAACCCTAAACCCGACCCTAATAATAATTCAGGTTAGTCGGGTTAACCAGAATAACCCGATTAAGAGTTCTGACTCTATTAAACCCGACCCTAATTACCTTATTCAGGTTCGGGTCGGGTCGGGTTAATCGGGTTCGGGTTTTTTTGACACCCCTACCCTCACCTCAGCAACAACAAGACCCATCTTATCCATCCACGCAACTAAGAAACAGGTTTAAAATGAAAACAATTGTCCCTCCATATTCCAATCTATTAGACAAGAAGACACCACATGGTTAAAAGCAGAATTCGATTTCCGGGTACGGTTCCATTACAATGTTTAGTAGCTTTTTGTGGATTTTGCAGTCACTATGAATTGAGTCGTTACAAAAAACATAACTGTTTTTTGGGATAAATTCCAAAGATAGACAAATCCGACCTGACATCCCTTTAATCAGATTCTGAATCTTTTATTTTTCTATTAGATATGTTGCTATACAGCCACCTTGAACGGTAGGTTTCTCGATAGTGAGAAAATTTAGGGGAAGATGTTAAACACGAGAATATTTGTTTTGTGTTCCTTCAAAAGATTGATTATAAATTTCTTTGATTTTTACCATGAACAATTTTGGAAAGGGGTTCAATTTTTTAGTTGTGATTGAATATAAAACCAACAAATGATTTCCATTGAGATACCGGAGGTGGTGGTAGGGTGGAGGTAAGGTGAAGGGAACAACAATGGAGGTAGGAGATGCTTATTTTACTGATGCACAATCAAAATAAAAAAAGGTGGGGGTTCTTTTTCTCAAAATAAAAAGATTGAATCACGATTTACACTTAAAACTACGAATAAATGTTTTTGATGATGAATCACAACATTTTGATGAATAAACAAAGATTTTTATGAAAAATTGATGTTTTTATAAAGTATCTGATGTTTTTTTATAAAGAGCAGGTGATGTTGATAACGACCAAGTAATAGGATAAATGATATTCATGAAGAACATACGATGTTGATGAAGAACAGTTGAACGATCCATCCTTAATGACTTATATATATATATATATATATATATATATATATATATATATATATATACACACACACACACACTTGCGCATTAAAAAGAAAAGATGCTATTTAGCCCTACATTAGTCCAAGTAAGCAGCGGAGTTAGCCTAGCCTACCCAAAAAGTGGTATAGTAGGCTATAGTAGGCGAGCAAGTTAACGAAGACGCTTAGGCTAATAGAAATCTCTCTCTCTCTCTCTCTCTCTCTATATATATATATATATATATGTATATATATATATATATATATATATATATATATATATATATATATATATTAAAAAGAAAATGCACTATTTAGCCCTTCATTAGTAGAAGTAAGCGGTCATCGATCATCAACAAGTAAAAGAATATTCTTTTCACATTCTCTCTCTCTCTCTCTCTCTCTCTCTCTCTCTCTCTCTCTCTCTCTCTCTCTCTCTCTCAATCAATCAAATTAGGTAAAAATGGTGTTTTGGGATGTTGTTTGTTTTATCATGAATCTATGAATTGAACAAATTAGATATTGTGGGTTTGCTTTTGATAGAAAATTGATGAGTGTTTGTAAAGGTGATTGGGTTTGTTGTTTTCACAGGAATGGGAGAAGGAAGAACATGAATGGGGGAAATATCCTCTTTTTTTTGTTGGTTTGTTGAGTACATAAGCGCAAGAACAAGACTGTTCTTGTATTTCTTGACTCGAATCCATGTAGAATGAAAGGAAACATGGGGTTTATTAAGAGGAAACGTATAAGAGGGTGAGTGGGGTTGATCTTGTGACAACATCTATTGTGAAAAGGAAATACTTTTTCCTTTGGAATGGAATCATGAATTTTAATTCTGCTGGAATGGAATCATGAATTCTAATTCTAATTCTGTTATATGAAATCACGAATCCAATTATATTGGAATGGAATCATGAATTATAATTCTGTTGGAATTGAGTATGGATATTTTATCACTAATTTATGCATGTTCTACAATTCTTGGTTTTCTCACTGATTTATTTTTCATTTGCTAATGCATTATTGGAATCTAAACTACAATTTAGTTTTGTTTTCACAGAAGCTGATGCTTGAAGAACGGACCACAAAATTGAAAGTGATTCTAAGCAACATTATTATTTTACAATGTATTAGTGTCATTGTTAGATTTTGTTGTTTTCTTTCCCGTTTTGAAAGTTTTTTTTTAGTTTTATTCTTTAACAATAAATGTAATTCTTAACAATTGCTACCCATATTCTATAAGAAATAATGTATTTTTTTTTATTTTTCAATTGTTTGTTCAAGAATTTGTTATTCTACATGAAATTTTAAAAGTCATGATCAAGAAATAGATTCAAGAATATTTCTATTATTTATGGTTCAAAAATATTTTTAATTTTTGAATATACTCATAAACATATTCTGTCAGAATGTCCGAATTAAAAGAATTATAATTCGTAAAATCAAATTTTTAAAATTAATAAAAATCTATAATCCCTTAAAATATGCAATTTTCCTTTATTAAATCTATATTAATTGACTAAAATGCCCTTTGTAATTAAATTAGATGATATTTTCAATTATATTTAATTAAATAATATATATTAATCGATTTCTTAAAATAAATAAAATTGATTGACTTACATTTATGCATACAATAACATAATAATTATTTTGAATAAAATAACCTAATATATATATATATATATATATATATATATATATATATATATATATATATATATATATATATATATATATATATATATATATAAAATAAAAAGTTTGGGCGATGGACAATGTGAGTCGGCCGCTATACAACACAAACACAAATACACAAATGTGTATAACATGTTAACAATAAATAGTATTGCTAAATTACCTTCACGAGGGGTGTTTCAAAGGAAATTGTTGATCATGCTTTGTTTTGTTATAAAAGTACATCTAGTTAATGCTTCAACCAAGACCCTTTGTTATACTCTTCATGACAACGGTCGTGGAGAGCTTCCAGATCAGCCACCAGAGCAACCATGAACCACTCCACCACAATCCGAGTACTCTAGGTGAGAACGAAGATAAAGAAGAGAGAGAGAGAGAGAGAGAGAGAGAGAGAGAGAGAGAGAGAGAGAGAAGAAGAAGAAGAAGAAGACTGAGAGAGAAAAAAATCGGTCAAGAAGTCCTAATTAAGCGTTCTGTCTCGTCCTCGATACCACGATCCATCATGAAAACAATAAACCACGACTAGATAGGGTGGTGTGCACGGCCGTTGTCCGTGGCCACGTAGAGCACGACCAGGTTGGTGGTCTGTATACCGGACGACCTAAGGAGGTGTACATGTTCATAGTCATCTAAGAAGCAATTAACTGTCATGCTCTCAAATCTCAACTAGTGAGTTGTGTTTGTAGCAGCAGCAACATGCACATGCCAGGCAATTTGATGGCGTCGAGTATTATGTTAGATTCATGCATGCACACAGAAAAGAAAGTTATGAAGATTTTGTGATAATGAATCCACAATAAACTGGCAAAGAATCTTGTTACACTTGGAAGAAGAAACCATATAGATGCATGTTATCATTTCCTGTAAGATGAAACTACCAAATTGGAGATATACAAGTGGGATTATGCATGTTTGTGAGCACTGATGATCAAGTTGCAAACATTATACAAAACTACTCAAGTATGAAACAGACGATATATGAATGATCAACCTACCAAATTTGATTTAGATATAGGATTAAGTAATGAGTTCAACCATCTCTAAAATGCTCATTTGGTAAAGTGTGGAAGATATGACTCATTAACCTATTGACCACACGCATTCAAATCCTAGGAGCTCCATTCTAGGTGCCCAGGAGAAGGGTTTGCAACACAACTCCATAGGGGTTGTTTAGCATCATTGTCAAAAGCAAGCCACCTATTCCATACCCTTGAAATTGGAGAAACCGTTATTGTCGGTGGGCAAACCGTTTTTCAAGTACTCATGGGTAATTTGCCTATTACCGATTAGCTAACAAATATGGATAATTTGTCAATTACTAGCTTTAAAAGGGTTGCTTATCATCATCATCATCAAAGGTGATCTCTCTTCCCCGATAACCTCAAAATCAAGAAATTTGTTAAGGATGATAGACAAACTGTGTTTTTTAAGTAATGGGTTTGAGAAGTACTCATCAGAAATTTTCCAATTACCAGTCAGTTAAAAACTACGAAATCTGTTTTCTTTTAAATATTTCGGTCTTCGTATTCAAAATTGCAATCAGTTAAAAACTATGAAATCTGTGTTTTTTAAATAATGGGTTCAAGAAAACCCCATTTCAATTATCTATCCCTAAATCCATGGACCGATCATCTTCTGCTCCAAACCCTCTCACACACATACACACTTGAGTGTTGCATCTGTTAAGAAATTGTTTTTTTTAATTTATAATGGTTTTACACTTCCGTTTCAGACTTTTGTGACCTTACACAAATGTAGTGTTGAAAAACCCAGTCCCACCATTGATCCTCAACAACATACACAAATGCAATTTTTGTGCTCGTCCTTGTCTCACCCCAAAGCACTTCAAATGCAATTTTTGTTCGTTATTGCACATAACATAAAAGGTAACTAATGACGCTCTTAATTTAATATTACTTGGGGTCTGTCAATAAACCTAAAATCCTACATGTATTAGACCACCAACAACTGTAAGCCATGTATATATAATACACAACAACAAGTCATATGTAGCTTGATAACTTTTAGAATGAAAGGAACAACACAAAATTCATCATTAGATATTTGGCACCATGAAATCATATCACTTACATAGTTTCAGCTTTTTGAAGAACAAGGAAACAACTGATTTGGGATAGGGTTTACAAGCAAGACATGTAGGAGTGTTCTCCGGTTGTTCAATCCATAGCTTATGAGCAATGTCATTGCTTTTAAGCTTCTCAGACAAGTTCTTTAACTGTACTTCTCCTTTCACCTCAAGCGTTACCTACACCATTAGAATGCATATATTTGTTGGTAATCCCATTATCATAACTTTCCTATTAACAAACAATTAATCCAATTTTACTTAAAGCCCTTCATCCTTTTATGGACCCCAACACTGTTTTGTACTAAGAAAGACATTCAGCTAAGAATTAACAGAGACAACAAGAAAGAAGTTTTCAGCTTCATCTTCAAATTCAACCCTCTCGAATCATGATAACTAAACTCTATCAACTTTGAATCTACAAAGTAAAGATGGTGTTCAAAGATCTCAAATCTAACGTAACTAGTTTGTTTGCAAACGTATTTGGTAATGTTCATCATCATAACTCTTACTCTTAGGATGAGGATGGAATTGACATAAGTACACTAAAATTAAACCTGCTACATAAAATTATTTGATTTAGAATAGAATAATTGAATACAGACGGGAACCAAGTAAAAACTGGTATTAAGGCTTCCTCGCAATGAAGATTCCCCAAAAATTAAGATCGAGATTCAACAAATATATACGGTGCATACTTCAATTAATTTAGCAGCACTCATTCACAACCCTAACATTGAAAATTCATGAAATTAAAACAATCGATGAAACAGAGAACTTACCTTATGCATTGAATCGAGATTGGTGGGACTGCAGTAGTCGATGGTGTGAGGATCATCTTTGTGTGACCAGATGGCTGCGACGGAGGCATGGCAGCCCTGTGTTACAACGCTCCCTAGCGGCCACGAGTCTATCAGATCTCGTCGGAGCACTACGTACTGCACTAGCACGTCGGAAGTTGTTTCCGAGGTTTCGGTGGCCAAAACCTCTGTCGCGTCAGTAGAGGAGGCCATGGGAGTCGAGTGGCGGCGAATATGCAGATGGAGTGAAGAGGGAAGTGCCTTCCTGTACGACGGCGTAGGGTGTTTTTTAAAGGAGGTAAGATGAGAAATCAAACAACGTGGTGACTGTAGAGTGGTCATATTTGCCTTCTTGTAGTCAGGTTGTGCCTCCGATCCGTCCACACTGGATTATGGCCCGTTGAAGAATACCAAGAATGGAATGGAAAGAAATTCATGACTACAATCTACAAATGTTTTATTGCTAGTATTTTGCTTATAGTGTTTGTAATTGTAGTCTTTTCTGGTCGCCCTTTGTTTTTTGCACTTATAATCTTATTAGTTTGTCCTTGGTTTCCCTTTTTCCTGCCTAGTGTATTTGATGGTGTTTGCTCCAAGTGATAAGCTAGTGTTTTCCCCCTGCTTATTGCTACCATTTACTTACACAATTATATATATATATTAATTACCAAAATTGGTTTGTGAGAGTATCACTATTCATTTCAACTTCTATTTTTATCCGTGCATTATGCTTCGTGTCCTTTTCTACGTTATGATGTTGCCACCATTTATATATTTTTTTCTATTTTCAAATCCAAGTTTACTAAAACCAAATCATGTTATATATTAACAAGCATTTATTATTAAATGTAAAGCAATAGTTTTCTGAAAATAACCATTTAAGTTCTGGTCATAAAAGATTTTCATATTTATAATCTTTTCCCCTCAATTAATTTTTATTTAACAGTTTTCACCCCTCATAATTTTAAAGTTAAATTATTGGTATTTTATACATTACGATTTAATCCCCTATTATATTTTAAAGTTACACTTTGACCCCTTACATATTTTTTAATAATCTTTTTTTATCAATTTATTTATGATACAATTTGAAGTCTTATTTTTGTTCGTCTCCTCCGTACATAATTATTTGTATTCAAGTTTTATTTTTATATTTCTATGTTCCACTTTATATAGTTTAATCGTCTCTGCGGTATGTATGGTGTCGATCTGCATTTTTGAATATACTGGGACTTCCGCAGCATCGCGCGGACGGTCAAACCCTAGTTGTGTATATATACAAAGTGCTCATGTTTTTCTCCTACCCCTATTTATTCTCTTCTTTATTGATTATACATTTTTTTTTCATTTACTTATTAACCACTAAACACCGCCTATTTAAGGGATAATGACTTGAAAGGGTAACGAACTTTCGACTTTTGTCACATTTTGAAACGACCCAAAAATTTCGTTTTTCAATATAATCAAAACCATAATATGAGTATCATAACAAAAAAAAACATACGCGATGTATCCCAAATCATAATAAAATACTGTGCGGAAAACGGTATCATACTATATCAAATCCAGAACAACTAAAAGCATCCCCAGGATAAAAGCTAAGCTGTGGTGTGTGCGATGCTATCACCTCGAGCTCTTCCCTTTGCTTGCGAAAGTACCTGAAACCAAAACTGAAACTGTAAGCACGAAGCTTAGTGAGCTCCCCCAAACTACCACATACCATACAATAACATATAAACACATATTGGGCCTTGTCCACTGCATCGGGCCGAAGCCTGGAAACTGCATCGGACCGAAGTCTGGAACTGACTGGGACCTTGTTCTCTGCATCGGACCGAAGTCCGGAACTGACTGGGACCTTGTCCCCTGCATCGGACCGAAGTCCGGAACTAACTGCATCGGACCGAAGTCCGGAACCGACTGGGACCTTGTCCCCTGCATCGGACCGAAGTCCGGAACTGACTGACTGAACATGGCATAGCATAACACATCAACTAGCATGAACGCATATACGGCATACTACATCGGGCCGTAGCCCGGAACACATAACACTTAACGCATAAAACATAGCACACAAATCCTGTTCGAGCCACGAAGGCATCAAACATACTAGCTACTGCATCGGACCTAAATCCGGAAACTACTGCTAACTGAACGGGCCGGCATTGTGGCCTTAGACCCGTTCCTACTGGAAGGAAACTCACCTCGTAAGCTGGCTGCTGAGTGTGTGGCTCGGGAAGCTAACGGTTGCTGCTCCTGAATCTCCTCGGCTACAAGTCCATAAACACACTCAATCAAATACTAAACACTGCGCTTGGGGTAAAATGACTCTTTTACCCTTGGTCAAAGTCAACTCTCTTTTGGGCTGACTCGCCGAGTTGGGCCGCCCAACTCGCCGAGTCCTACTCTCACTTCTCAGTTCTACACGCTGCTACTCGTCGAGTGTGGCATCGACTCGACGAGTACCCACTTGATCCAAGAACTCAGACAATCTTCATCCGACTCGCCGAGCCGTATGAACAAACTCGACGAGTTGTTCTTGATCTTAAGAAGATTGCCTTGGACTCGCCGAGTTGTATGAACAACTCGCCGAGTCCCTCCATCACTGAGTCTACCCTCAACTCGCTGAGTCCACTCACTAACTCACTGGATCCACTCGACACTAATAAAAATGAAGGAATCGGGAACTCGCGACCCAACTCGCCGAGTCGTTCTTCCCGACTCGCCGAGTTGCCGCCATGCAACTGATTTTTACTCGATTTTGTTTGAATCCAACACATACAATTGATAGATCTGAGTCCAATAAGCTGATTTACCACGTAAAGTTTCCAACTTTACGTGTACAACCTCATGAATAAGGGAAATAAGGCTAAAAGATGCACAAAATGGGTAGATCTATGGTTAATATGCAAAGTAACTCCAAAAAGGCAGTAGATCTGGGCTCTACAACACCCAATCATTCAGATCTAAAGATATCTCGACTTATTAAGGCATTCATGCAAACATAAGGCTTGGAACAAGCATCAAATAGATCCTAGGAGAGCTCTAATGGAGGTTTAAAGCATATAACAAGAGGGGAAATCCGAAAATACCTCAAATAACTCAGATTTGCCCTTGGATCTTTGCACTACACCTCTTCTCCTTGCTCCTTTCTTCTTCTCCTTCTTCAAACCTTCACAAAATGGCACAAAACACTTAGCTCACACAAGGGTGGGTTAGGGTTCTTTCTCACAGTGTTCTCAGGGTGAGGGAGGCGAGAATGGGGCTATAAGGTGACTTAAATAGTGGGCAACCCGGGGATTTAGGGTTTCACCCAGACGGATGTGCTCGAAGTCGCGACCCTACTCGGCGAGTCAGGCTATGAACTCGTCGAGTCCCTCATGCAAAACTTACAACAATTACCAATGAATTAACATACCGGGAACGGGTCATTACAATTCTCCCTCACTTGTCTCAGACTTCATCCTCGAAGTCTGCTTTGGCTGGATCTGCAAATATCTCCGGGTAGTGCGCTCTCATCTCCTCCTCAGCCTCCCACGTCCATTCAGACCCCTTCCGGTGCTGCCACTGCACCTTCACTAGCTGAATTACCTTGTTCCTCAGGGTCTTGATCTTCCGTTCCAGAATCGCGACCGGCCTCTCAATATAATTCAGGCCGCTATCAACCTGAATGTCCTCTAGGGGAACGACTGCTGTCTCATCCACCAAACACTTCCTTAACTGCGACACGTGGAAGGTGTTGTGTATCTGACTAAGCTCCTCGGGAAGATCCAATCGATAAGCAACCCGACCCACCCGGGCCAAAACCCTGAAAGGACCAATAAATCTGGGGCCCAATTTGCCCCTCTTCCGGAACCTGATGACACCTTTCCAAGGTGAGACTTTCAGAAGAACCATATCTCCCACCTGGAACTCCAATCCGAACGCCTCCTGTCGGCGTAGCTCTTCTGCCGACTCTGCGCAGTCTGCAGCCTACTACGGACCTGCTGGATCAACTCAGTCGTCTTGAGCACCACTTCGGTGCTCCCTATGACTCGCTGACCGACCTCGCCCCAACAAATCGGGGTCCTGCACTTCCTGCCATATAACATCTCAAAAGGAGGTCGGTCAATGCTCGCATGATAACTGTTGTTGTACGAGAATTCCGCTAACGGAAGATACGTATCCCAACTGCCCCCAAAATCTAGAACACATGCCCTAAGCATGTCCTCAAGAGTCTGAATCGTCCTCTCGCTCTGCCGTCAGTCTGAGGGTGGAAAGCGGTGCTGAAATGGAGACGAGTACCCATCTCGTCGTGGAACCGCTTCCAGAATCTGGACGTGAAACGAACATCTCGGTCCGACACCACCGATACCGGCACTCCATGACGTGCCACAATCTCCCGCACATAGATATCGACTAACTTTTCCGCCGATATACTCTCCTAATCGAATAAAATGTGCACTCTTCGTCAACCGATCCACTACTACCCATATCGAGTCCACTCCGCGTGCGGTCCTGGGGAGTTTGGTGACAAAATCCATGGTGATATCCTCCCATTTCCACACGGGAATGTCTAACGGCTGCATCTTGCCGTGAGGTCTCTGGTGCTCCGCCTTGACCTTCCGGCAGGTCAAACATCTCTCAACATACCAAGCGACGTCCCGCTTCATGCAGGGCCACCAATAATCAGGTCGAAGATCTCGATACATCTTCGTCGCTCCTGGGTGGATAGAAAATCGAGACTTATGAGCCTCGTCCATCAATACTTGCCGTACCCCACCCCAGTACGGTACCCACACCCTACCATGAAGCGTCAACAAACCCCGACTGTTGTAATCAAATGAAGCTACTCGGCCCACTATCCTCTCACACTTCTGCCTCTCCTCCTTGAGGCCCTCCATCTGAGCCTCCTTGATCTGCTCCAACAACGGAGTGATCACTGTCATCCTCATACACAGATCTCTGATAGGGGCCGTCGACACCTTGCGGCTCAGGGCGTCGGCCACCACATTGGCCTTCCCTGGATGATAAAGGATCTCACAGTCATAGTCCTTCAGCACGTCCAACCATCTCCTCTGCCTCATGTTCAAACTCGGCTGATCCATAAGATATCGCAAACTCTTGTGATCCGTGTATATAGTACAGCGGACCCCATAAAGGTAATGTCTCCAAATCTTGAGGGCAAATACAACTGCCCCCAGCTCCAAGTCGTGGGTAGGATAATTAGCCTCGTGAGGCTTCAACTGTCTCGAGGCATAAGCTACCACATGGCCTCGCTGCATCAATACTGCTCCCATACCTGTGATCGAAGCATCACAATAGACTACGAAGTCCTCTACTCCCTCTGGCAAGGTAAGGATCGGAGCCTCGCACAATCTCTGTCTGAGAGTCTCGAACGCCGCCTGCTGCTCAGGCCCCCAACGAAAAACCACCGACTTCTTGGTTAGTCGGGTGAGCGGCACTGCTATCTTGGAGAAGTCCTGAATAAATCTCCGATAATACCCTGCCAGCCCTAGGAAGCTCCGAATCTCAGATGGAGACCTCGGGACCTCCCACTGCATCACGGCCTCAATCTTGGCCGGATCTACCAAAATACCCTTCTGGTTGACGAGATGACCAAGAAACTGCACCTCG